CCCAGCGCCCTGCAGCCTGACCCCCGCTTCCCAGGGGCCAGGTGGCAGGCAGCCAGGTAACTGGCCTCCAGTCCTCAGCCCTGTTTCCCTTTGCACCTGGACGCCAACATGGGCCCTAGGTCATGACAAGCTGAGTGCCCACTCCCTGTGTGGGAGTCCTCCAGGAGGTGGGGACAGCGGTGGCCGGGACGGGGAAGGGCCTGGACCAAGCTGGGGCGGTGGCCGTGTGACCTCCGGCAAGTCTGTTTTTCCTGGGCTGTGGCGAGGGTGGGGCGGCTCACCCCTTGGCCTCCAGGGAGCCCCTTCCTGCGCAGCCCCTAAAGTAAGCAAGGCTGGTGGGGAGGAGGCTGACGGAGGATCTGAGAAGAAGGGACTGAGTCTAGAAGGCGACCGTATGCCGTCCTGGTGGGGTGGAGAGCACGGTTCAGCCCAGGCCCCGGCTGGGAGAGTGGGGTCCCGGGTGACTGTGGGGGCTCTCGTGGGGCACCTTCTGGATGGCTCCCGGGGCTACTCATACCTGCCTCCCCAAGAGCCTGGCAAGGGCCCTCTTGCCCACTCCCCGCCTCCACTGCTCCAAACGAAGCGGATAAGCAGAGGCCCTCTCTGACGGGGCACAGTCGGGGTTCCCCAAACCTCGGCTGCAGGACCCATTCCTTTGACACACGCAGGCAGTGACACCAAGATCAGAGTGCCCAGTGGACAAGGCTGTGACCACTGGCTGGGTGACTGGTGGGGCCCTGACAACAACGTAAGGAGTGGGTGAAAAGCCAGCCTGGGGAGGCACTTCCCTGGCGGCCCAGTGGTTAAGACGCCATGCTTCCAATGCAAGGGGCACAGGTTTGATCCCCGCTCGGGGAACTAAGATCCCACATACTGAATGGGGTGCCCCTCCCCAGAAAAAGAAAGAAAGACTGGGGAGGACATGGTCAAAACCATGGACATGGAGATGCAGGCATCCTGTGCACCACCTCTGTCCCCTGCTTCTATGGAGAGAGTGGCCCAGCCAAGATGCGGGGACCCTGGGAGTCACGGCCCTAAGAATAACTCCATTTATTTAGGCTCCTTCTCAAAGGAGCTAGTGCTGGTGATGCAAATGATAATTATAGCCACACTTGATGATCTTTATATAATGCGGTGACTCGTTTCCTAAGACCTAAAATACTGCCTTGTTCTCTTCATGCTTCCCCCAGCCCCCTGTATGGGGATGGGGACATCAAGGTGGCCAGGAGGGGCCAGGTGACTTCCAAGGGGTTCCCGAGCAGGCTGCACCAGACACAGTTTCTACTCCAGCCCTGACTACCAAGGTTAACAAAGCCCAATGGAAGTGCTGCAACTTGGGGTCCCCTCATTTTCAGAAACCGGTTCTAGAACTTCTTCTTTCAACTCCCTCCCCTAAATATAAAAGAACCCCTGATGAAGACCCAGCCGAGCCTGAACCACCCATTCTCATCTTCATCTGACCGAAGACGTGAGCGTTCAGAGCCCGTATTCAAAACTCTAAAAACATCCCTTGAGTTCGATCAGGGCAGCATCTGTCTTGGTCATCGTCTTGGACTGGGCTGGCCTGAATGACCCGGCTCATTCACATAGCCTGCGCTAAAAAAGAAGAGCTGGTGTGAATAATTTAAACCCCGCTCCCTTTTCCCTTTTGCAGATTTCCGACTTCTCACTGATCATGATTTCGGCACCAGCGAAGACGTGCTATTCCTGTCCCCGATGAACGTTTCCTTCTGGGGAAAGTGACTCTGAGGGGCTGCAGATGTGTTGGAGGAAGGGCTCGGGCCGGGACAGATGCCGTGCCCGTGGGAGCTGGCCAGCCCTCGCCCAGCAGCTCAAGGGGAGCTTTTGATGTCAGGCCCCTTCCTCGGCCTGAGCTAAGCTGGACATACATTCCTCAGATGCCTGGTCTTGTATCTCCCCCTCTCCTCTTCAGGGACAACTTTGTATAGAGTTCCACTCACTGCACTTCTCCTTTTAGCTGACTCAAGATTTCAAAAGGAAGTCAGACATGGAGGGGGAGAAAAGAAATGAAACCAGGAAGGAAACTCCAGAAACCACAGAACACTTTTAAACTGCCTTAAGCATCCCTACTTGCCTTCAAATGGGAGCCTGGATTTAAAAATGTCTATTTGGGTTAACCAGAGGAAAAACATCTGACAGCCGTCTTCTTGGTTAAAACATTCCAATGCTCAGTAATTCAGGGGCTATAGGCCAGTAGCTGGATAACTCAGGGTCTGCCCCCTCACCTGTTGTTGAGTCCCCAGACTGGGTCTGTCTCTGATTCTTTCAAGGGTCGGGCACGGAAAAGCAAAGGAAGAAAAAGGTTTGCTGTCTGTAAGCCCCGGGCTCCACACTCCTAGATAGGGGTGTGTGTGTGTGTGTGTGTGTGTATGTGCATGCGCACACATACGGGTACTTTCTCCTGACCTCACTTTCAAGTGGATGCCTCTTTGAAGTGTCTGGTTAGTGATGCTGGGGCAAAGAGACCATCGGTTCTGTGTGGATGGAAGTGAATGCAGGCAGGAGGGTCAAGGTGGGGCTGAGAAGGAGGAAGCCATCTCATACCAGCCTGTCCAGCAGTCCCTGTGGCCTCCTGTCCTGCCTCCAGGCCCAGGGAGATAAGAGGTCTGTTTGCTGACCTTCTAAAGCTCAGAAGGGTGAAAGGTGTGCTCTGAGGCCACAGGCCCAAGCTTCTGGCCTTCCTGGATCTCCACATCTTCCCTGCATGGTTGCCCGCCCCCCCCACCTACCTCCCAGCACAGGTCTCAGACCACGCGATAGTCTGGCTGTGATTGGGGAGGCCGGATGGTGGGACAGGTTTCACAGATGGACGGTGTAAGAAGGGGAGGCTGCGGTCGGGGCTGGGCAGGTCGGTTATGGACCCCTTGGCTCTCCTCTGGTCCCCAAGGATGCCAAGGGGAAGAGCCCAGCAGTCCCAGCCCCTGTAAGCCTCTGTCCCATCACAGCTGGACCTCCCCGCCCCCATCACACTGCATCCCTGGTCACTCAATCAGGCCCTGTGTTCTCCCTCATCCATCTCACAGTGGTCCGATCAGGGGCGTCAGCAGGCTCGCTGGGACTCAGGCGTGGGGGACATTGTTGGGGACAGGCTGGCTCAGGGCACCCCTGTCCCATGGCTGGAAGGACAGATCAGGTCAAAGCCATGCTCTGGAGGCTGGTCCCTGTGGCCCTTCACGCCCCCGCTTCCCTGGGCACCATATCTGTACGGCCTGCATCTTGCTCTGGGCGATCATCAGAGCAGAACTAAGAACTTCTTCCAGGCAGCGGAGAGCCATCCCGCTGAGCCTGGACACGCACACTGCTGCATCCAGAGCTAAAACTAGGTCACAGCTGGTGAGAGAGGCCCAGGGCTCAGCCCCTCCGGACGGAGCTTCTTCTCCCTGGTTGGATGTGCGGGTCCCAGGCTGCTGGGTCAGCAGTGGACATGTAAAGAGGGGCGGGGGGTGGGTACTGACCTCAAGCCTTCTTCCTGTCACCTGATCCCTGTAGCTCAACCTGGTTCCTCACTGAGACTCAGACTGGACCTGCCTTGGCCCTTCCTGTCTACGTCTGAATGTTTTGCAGCCTCTCTCCCCTGTCCTGGTGGCTCAGATGGTAAAGAATCCACCTGCAATGCAGAAGACCTGGGTTCGATCTCTGGGTAGAGAAGATCCTCTGGAGGAGGGCATGGCAATCCACTCCAGTATTCTTGCCTGGAGAACCCCATGGACAGAGGATCCTGGTGGGCTACAGTCCATGGGGTTGCAAAGAGTTGGATGAGACTGAGTGACTAACACTTTTTAATTGCTGCCCACACAGAGCTTGTGGTTGGGGACATGAATGGGGAGACACCAGCCCGGCCCCAGGGAGCCTGATCTGTTGACAGGTGCCCAGGAGGGAGGGAGGGAGGGTCAGGCCTGGGAGTCCAGAGCGGGACTCCGGCTTCTGCCCCCTTGGGTATAGCCCTGACTTCCTTCCCTGGTGCTCAGGGCCAGCAGTGGTGGTGGTAGGGGGCGGTCTTCCCAGCTTCCCAGGGGGTGTTTGTCAAGGAGCCTGTGCCCACCTCACCCATGAAACAAACACCTGCCTGGACGATCCCACCTGAGTCTGACCGAGCTTCTACATCCAACTCCCAAAGCAGCATCAGGATGGCATGGGAAAGTCCAGATGGGGAGGGAGCAGAGCCATCAACGACCTGGTTCCTCCAGCAGATACATTGCGAGGACGTCAGAGATTGATGGGGAGCGGAGAGACCAGAGAGACCTGAGGGACAACTCGACTGACTTTAACACACAGACCTCACTTCCATCCTGATTCAAATAAACTGAAAAAACAACAAAAAAGGATAGCTTATGGCCCAGTGGGGGAAATCTGAAATTGCCTGGTTATTTCATTATACTAAAGAACGACTAAAAAAAAATAAAATAAAATAAAGAACGACTCTTAATGGTTTCTAGGTATGATAACAGTCTTGTCGTTACCCTTTCTAAAAAGAGAATCCTGATTTCCGAGGTATACCCAGAGGCACTGACAGATGACGTGCTGTCTGGGGTCTCGGGTGGGGGCGGGGCAGGGGTGGGGGACGGTGCAGGCAGAGAGGATTGGCTCTGAGATGGTGGAGGTGAGTCTGGGTGATGACCCGAGCTTCATGAAAATGTTCTTTTCGTTTTAGCCTATGTTTGGAAATCGCCATGATAAAACCTGGACAGAGGAAGAAGAGGAGGAGACGGGAAGGAGGTGAGGGAGCAGTTTTGCCACCACCACCGAGGTGTCCTCCTGGCTTCAGTCCTAATAAGAACCTGGAGACGGTGGCAAACAGCAGGCCCGTGGCCACCCGCCCCTCTCCAGCCTTCCGCAGGCCTCAGAGCCGGGGCTGGTGTCAACGAGTGGGGCTCTCAGCACGCAGCCTGGTCGTGGGGTGGGGGGGAACAGGTGGTTGGAGGCCCCGGGCGGGTGGCCCCCTCTGCCCTGGCACTGGGCAGGGCCGGGCAGGCACTCACCGCAGAGAGGCAGCCCCTGTCCTCGCGGATGATGGCGCCGAAGCCCAGGAAGCCGGTCACCATGACGAGGGCGCCCGCGAAGATGAGGATGTAGGCGGAGGCGGCGAAGGTGCTGGAGGCCAGGACGCTGAGATAGCCGCTCTTCTCCACCAGGGTCCAGACGCCCACGGCCATGACCGCAGCGCCCCCCACCTGCGGGACATGGGGTCTGAGCGCCCACTCCACATGGGGCCTTCTCGCCTACCCACTTGCTTGGTCCTTGGAGGAGCCCAGGGGAAGGGTCTGCCTGCCCATTTTGCAGATGGGGAAATGGAGGCTTGTCCACGGTTGAGGGGAGAAGCAGGGACAGAGCGAGAATCCGGGTCTGACCCCCCAGTCCCCTGCTTCCCACCATGATGCCCGTGCGTCCGTGTCACGAGTCAGGGACACTTCAGTCGTGGGGACCCCTCCTGCGGTCCTGCTGCTCGTGTCCCCCAAGGGGCGCTTTCACAAGCCCCTTTCTCATCGCCCTGGGGGGCCACACGACTGGGCTTCTTACCTGCGTGCGCTCTATCAATGGAGGACAAGCCCCCAGAAGAAGGGGAGCTACCCGGCGGCCACCAATGAGGGGAGACACGGGGCAGAGCTGATTCCAGCTCTGGGCCCTGGCCTGTGGCTCAGTCGTGCTGCCCCCTCGGCAGAAGGGACACACGCCCCCACAGGCTGGAGTCGCTCTGGGACGGCAGGACATTGAGCAGGAGGGGAGAAGTCCTGTTTGCTGACTGATCCTTTCTAGCCCTGATCCCAGGAAGGGGCCCTGGGAACACACCTGCCCTGTTCCTCCTGCAGTGAGGCTCAATGACCCTTCCTGTGGCTGTGATGCCGGGCAGAGTGTGTGTGCTTGTGTGTGTGTGTGTGTGTCCTCCAGGGGCCGGACAGGGACCTCTGCGGGTGGGTGGGGGCTCCTTAACCATGAGTCTGCACCAGGTGCCTCCAGGGCTCAACTTCCTATGTCCTCTTCAGTCCAGGAAGCTCAGGGCAGGCAGGTGGGAGCACACATTTCCCCTCTTTTGCACATGAAGAAACGCAAGCCGCAAGGACTAAAATGTGCTCACGAGCACAGCCCTCAAGTTTCAAGACTGAGACATAGATCCAGGTCTGCTGAAGGCCAATCTGAGTATTCCAACCTGGGATTGCACACACTGGGCTGGGAGGCTCTCGACTCACTCCTGCTTTTCAGATGCATGTGTTTCCTTCTAAGGACCATTTTATCCCCCTTAGCACCTCCAGCAGGTAAGAGAACCAGCTTTGAGTGGAATCCACCTGCTCTGAATCCATGACACTTTTTTTCTTACATTGTAACATCTCTTAAGATCGAAATTTTTTGCAGTCCCTTGAACTGCAAGGAGATCATACCAGTTAATTTTAAAGGAAATCAACCCTGAATATTCATTGGAAGGACTGATGCTGAAGCCGAAGCTCCAATACTTTGGCCACCTGATTCGAAGAGCCAACTCATTGGAAAAGACCCTGATGCTGGGAAAGACTGAAGGAGGGAGGAGAAGGGGACGACAGAGGACGAGATGGTTGGATGGCATCACGGACTCAATGGACATGAATTTGAGCAAACTCCAGGAGATAATGAAGGACAGGAAAGCCTGCTGTGCCGCCGTCCTTGAGGTCCCAAAGAGTCAGACACAACTGACTGACTGAAGACCAACAACAAAGATCAAGATACATCTTATGGTTGATGGCATCTGGCAATCACACTTGGCAACACTCCTGCCTCGTGGTACAGAAAACAAGGGTGTATCTTACAACTGATGGTATCTTAGATCTGATGAAATCCTGGACTATGATGGACTTTCCAGTCCTCTGAGGGCATGGGCTATCTCTGGCCACACAACCTCCATGACCAGTAAGGGATTTCCTACAACTGGGTTCGCGGGACTGTGTCAAGAGAGGGTTTCCAGCAAACTATTCTGCACATATTCTTTCTGCCCCTACAGTCCACCTGAGAAGCTTGGGGTTGAGGGTCTCAACTGTGCATAACTAGCTGTATGACCTAAAGATGGTCCCTGAACCTCTCTGGGTCTCATGTCTCCATCTCTCAAACAATGTGGGTGTATTAGGCCAGTGGTTCCCAACCTCTAATCACCAAGGGCCCCTTTGATGACTTTCTCCCATGGGTCTTAGGTTTTGAAGGGCTTCTGTCTACCAAACGCAGTGTATTAAGTGATAATTCATTTCTCATTTCTTATTAATCAAAGGCACATGCTACTACCAAGAAGAGATTCTGAGCAGCATGAAACAGCCAACATGACCACATTGAGTGGCTCTAACTTTTAGCGCGTGTAGGGTCTTTAGAGAAACCTGCACATCATCCACGAGGCTTGTCAACCCCAGAGGCTTACACTGGATCTAGAACCACCCAAAGGGATGGGCGTGGACTGGCCTGGGGACACCTAATTTGCTGGGGGACAAGGAGCCCACTGAGAATCTGATAAAAAGCTCTGCACACAGTGCCCAGAGAAATGCCATCCACATGAACTAATGTGCCCTGCTTCAGGGGTCGTGGCCCCAGCTTGCAGAGACAACAACCCCAGTGTAGATGCCTCTGGGGCCCCTGCCATCTCTCATCCTCTAAGACAGCACTTCTTAGTCTGGCTGCACTGCCTGGGGACCCCGGAGCATCACCCAGGTGACTGGGGGTGGGACCTGGCATGGTTCTTTTACTAAGTTCCAGGAGCTTCCAGTTGAGAACCACTAAATAGTTTCCTAGTTAACAGAGGTCAGAGTCCTGTCCCCCCTCCCCAAGCAGGACCCCAAGAACACCTTCCTTTTGGGCCACCATCTGGAGGCACCTGGCCAGGCTCTGGACTGCCCACCCCCTTCCCTGTCTGCGTCAGGGTGTTCTCTGTGATGGGAACTTCAGAAGGTGGGGTAGCAAGGAGCAGGATTTTTCGTTCAAAGGGATGAAAAGCAGATCATGCAAGAAAAGAAAAGACCACGTGCTCCCAGGGGAGGAAGTAGGGAGGCGCACACTGACCCCTAAAGGAAGAGTGTGTCCTGTGGTCACAGATGGGCTGGGGTCTCACAAGGGAGTGGGGCCGCAGCTCAGACACGGGGGCAGCAGGGCCCCCGCCCACACAGGAGGGTCTGGGTAGACACAGTGCCCTGATTTGGGTTTGGAGAGCAACAAACCCAGACTGGTTCCGACCTTCAGGAGAAGTCTGAGTCAGTGGGGCCCCCAACCCTCCACTGGGGTATCCCGTGTGTCTGCTGGGGACACAGAGTGGGTTTCAAGTCCTCCGGGGGTGCCCTCCTCGGAATCTGGTTGGCTCTTTAGAAAATCATCACTTCCCTGGTTAGTCTGGTGGTTAAGACTTTGCCTTCTAATGTAGGGGGAGTGGGTTTGATCCCTGGTAGGGGAGATAAAATCCCATATGCCTTGTGGGCCAAAACCCAAAACACACACACACACAAACCCAGAGCACTCATAGCTTTCGACAAGCAGTTCTGAGATGCCGGGTCAGCAGAAAGAGCAGTGAAGAGGCCCCAGGGGAGGACGATTCGGGCTGGAGCCAAATGACCCCGCTGAGCTGGGCAGACGGCTATTTGCATAGAGTTGATCCAACAGCATTTGGCTCTTTGCAGAAACTGGGTTGGTTTCCTGTGGAATATTAGGTACATCTTTCAAAACCAGAGCCTGCAGCCAATCAGCTAGAAAAACCCTGCAGAGGGTGAAGCTGGCCTTCTTACCCATGAGGACACACACAGGCCGAGAGAGGCAGCAGGGCACCCAGGCCATGTAATTTTAGGAACGGCCCATTTATAGAAGAGAAACATGGCCAAAAAGTCGCTTGTCATCATGGGGAGGATTAGCCTGAGTGGCCGCACACGCTGGTCCAGAGAGACCTCAGGCTGCAGGCAGGAAAGGAAAGCAGGCAGAGTGGAAAAGCCGCTGCAGGTTTTCCTTGTCTTGTGTGGCCGCGGAAAGGCTTTCTGTGCTGGGGTTGGCGAGGGCCGGCCGGTGGAGGAGGCCCAGGATGGTGGGGCTCCCAGTGCTGAGGGACCCCGGACAGGAGTGGGATCGCACAGGTGACGGTGTAGTTCTCTCCCTGAAGTGTCTGCTACAGGCCCCCAGGGGCCAAGCACCACCTGGATTGGAAGGACTGGGAGCTGGGTGTGAGTTAATCCAGTTAGAACCACTTCAGTCCTCCACACTCCCCACCCCTGGAAGCCTCATCAATGGGACCACCGCTGCCCAAACCTTTAACCAGCTCCCCAGGGTCACTCTGGACACTTCACTCTCCTGCAGGGACAGTAAGGACCTGTCCCCTTCTGACCTCATAGCCCACCACTTGGCCACCCCAAGTGCTGCCACGGTTTTTCGTCCTCCCACCCCACCCTGGAGAAGGCTCTTGAGAGTCTCTTGGACAGCATGGAGATCAAGATCAAACCAGTCCATCCTTAAGGAAATCAACCCTGAATATTCACTGGAAGGACTGATTCTGAAGCTGAAGCTCCAGTACTTTGATCACCTGATGCAAAGAGTGCACTCATTGGAAAAGGCCCTGATGCCTGAAAAGACTGAGGGCAAGAGGAGAAGGGGATGACAGAGGATAAGATGGTTGGATGGCATCACTGACTCAATGGACATGAGTTTGAGCAAACTCCAGGAAATAGTGAAGGCCAGAGGAGCCTGGTGTGCTGCAGTCCATGGGGTTGGAAACAGTTGGACACGACTTAGCAACTCAACAACAACAACAACAACCACCCACCCTGTATGGCCTTCTGGTCCCTGCTCACTCCAGGGGCAGTGTGTGTGCTTCCAGGGCTGACCACCTGGGGTCCCCACCGAAAAATCACCCCCAGCACCCAGCACCCAGGGCCCCCAGCCCGGACTCAAGAGTGGATTCCTCCAAGCAAACTGTCTCAGAGCAGCCACCCCAGGCTTCCTCCTGGACTGGCCTCCCCACAGTGGCCCTGGGCAGACAAGATGAGCATCCTCGCCCCAAGCAGGGCCTGTCCCCCAGCAGATGCTGCGGCTCAAAGAGGCAGGATGCCCGGGTGCCATGGGATCCTGAGACTTTGGCATCTTAAGATGGTATGTGGCAGAAACACCAGCCACAGGGCCCCTCAGCTGTTCTTCCTCGGATGGCCTACTCTGGGAGGCGGGCACAGGCCACGTTCTGTGGGGGTGATGGTGA